AGGGCGAATTTTAGTAGTCACATTTTCATTATTCACCATTTCACTATAATGTACACAGTTCAAAATTAATTTTTAGGGGACGCCCTTGACTCACCTTCTAGTAATGAATCACCTAGATAGTGTTGTGTTAAAACGTACTCTCAGGCGTGGTCATATATGTTCTTGGTCAGAGGGGTGTCCTACCTGCAAAAGTATTTACCGTACTTTACGCTACAAGTGATCACATGGCAGTTGTAAATCGTTTATTCCAAAAACTCATATTTAACATGGCTTCAGGTGCTGAAAAGCCAAAATATCGGTGAAGATATTCATGATTATGCTATTTATTCAAATTGAAAACATGACCCCCCCCTCAAATGTGACGTTTCATGGCGAAGTAAAATGGCCATGAAATTTAAAATACACCGCCGATTGTAATCAAATTTATAATAATCAGCATCAAATATGCTTTTGAAATGTCATTTGTCTATCAGCGTGTGCGGTGCTTCGTTGTTTTGGTTTCGGTCAATAAAAGCATATCTGTAACTGGTTAGATTTTTTGTAATGTACATGAACAATCGCAAAGAGGACTGGCTGAATGTTGTTCTAAACTGAACTGTGAAGAAGATCTTAGAGAAATCATATTTGTTTTGTGCATGAGTATATTGTTAAAAACTTAAATTTAATACAAATTCACAGTTAACGCTTATTGGATAACACAATATTTATTTGTCATTCAGATTATGCGTTACAAGAACGCATGCTCTGATAAAAATGGCAAATAAAAAATTGGTAACATAGATTTAAGTATTTGTTGCCGTTTAATAAATAGCCATATTGATTTGACATCAACATTACTTAAACATTGCCAACTGCTGGCTTGATTACATGTTGTCCGATCGAGTCTTGAGTCTGCGATTACTGGGGTTAGAGCAATGTTCAAGGCCCATTGAAGTACCAACACACTTAATTGCTACTTTGAGGTAATATGAATATAATTCAAGTCACATAAACAGAAGTCAGTGAAGTCAATCAAGACAGAAACCAAAGAGCAGGGATTTAATAGGATTGTTAAGTCATTTCCCTTCACCCTTTCTTAATCTGGCAACTGTCATCTCTATACAGTGTCATGCTGGGCTAAACTTGTTGATATTGTCAGTCTTTGCGTTCAAGTCCAATGTATAGCTTTTCAGTCGCAACAGTGGTCAGAAAGATGCTTGGACTCTTTACAGTAAGATTCCAGTAGAGCTATACCTTCTTCCTCGTTACCATGGTATCGTTTTATCCATTCATGAACAAGAAGATTGTGGTATCTGAAGTAAAATTTGAGCAGTGGGTGATAAAGCACAGAAAGGTACACTTTACTTCACCATAATTAAACTAAAAAAAAAAAAAAAAAACAAATCACAGCGCGTATAAATTAAATTCATCAAATTCAAAACTATAGTCAGCCGACAAACTTTTACATTTTTGTTCAATAAGCCATATCTAAACGAGAAGTCGTAATTTGTAAAACCGGTAGCTATTTTACTTGCTGACGATGGTCCAATTATGAAATTCACCAACCCAGAGCCTTTATTCTTTAGCAGTTATTTAGAAAGAACATCAACTGACAAAGGGCAATAGTGTAAATGGTGTATACTCAGAAGTTGGCTCCATTCTGTACATATATAATTTCCAGTGTAACAGAGTGTATACAGATGTACGCATAGACTGTTACACTTGTGCATTATTCAGTGTATTACCTGGGCTTCTCAAAGTATTGGTCATATTCTGTGTCTGATCTTGGGAAGATCCTGTCGAAGCCTCCCCGCCTGTTGTTTTCATCTATTGTGTCAACCAGCACTCGGATATCATCCGGCGGTAGCGTGTCCAGTATAGTTGGCAAGACTTTCTTTGAAATATAAATTTACCCCAAAAAGAAAATTGAATAACAGGAAGATAAGGTGGCGGCTATTTATATAAATAAACTGACATATATATATATGATCATTTTTTGTCATTTACATGCCCCTCCTTTTCTCGCTGATGTGTATGTTCAAATAGGATCAGTCAAAGATTTTTGGCCTTTAAGCTTATTCTAAGGCAAATGAATTTGATGGAGGGTGGACCCCACTGCTGCGTGCATCCTCAGTGGCATGACACTTATCATGGTATGTTTTTACGTATATGGAAGGAGCGAAACATGACCAAACATATTGGCCAAAGGCCTTAATCAATTACCGTGAACGCCTCATGTACTGTCCCTAATATTATCCCTAACCTTTAACTTGCGGCAATTTTTTAAGAGTCTCCGGATCACCTTGCTTACCTTGTCCTTATAGTGCTCACAGTAATACTTGTGTTTAGCTTGTTCCGCGTTGGACAGATTCTTTGTCCACCAACGCTCATCTATCAGCAAGTTAGGCGAAATACTGGGCCCACTGAAAGCAAATCATAATCAAATATTGTTAAAGCCCCCACATTGGGTTTGTCAAAATATTGTGCTCCGAGCAGTGACAAGTCTGGTGTAACTGGTGGTTAAGTGTTATTATATGTAAAGGACTCAAAGTTACGAACAGCAGTTTAAGTTTTTTCATATAACAGCATAGATGGGGTTTTGGCAAGTTGACAACAATTAAAAATAAATGACCATAAACGTCTCTCGTGTCTCTTATTGCTTAACACTTGTCTTTTATCGAAAGAAGTTAAGGCAGCCAAAAAAGCAAACCACAATCATGGAATCTGGTATTATTGCTGTACCTTTCTCCATCGCTCCAATGATCCTCTTCCCCAGGTATTCTGTAGCTTTCGTGATATAACAGGTATAATACTCAAATTAACGTACAGCAGTTACAGTTCTCTTAAGCGACAGCGAAATTCAATTTTTTGCACGCCAATAAACATAACCGAAAGGGTCTCGTGATACATTTGTCTTTTATTAAAGAAAGGTAAGGTAATCAAGACAGTATACCACAATCATGAATTCTGGTATTATTGCTGTACCTTTCTCCATCGTTCTCATGGTCTTCTTCTCGAGGTTTTCTATAGCCAGCTAAGTTCAGCATATCTCTACACATTGGGTCAAAGACGGGGTGAGGATTACCCGAGTGTCCGCCGATACTGAACATAAACATATCACTTTATTTCACACCTTATTAAAATGTGTTTTAAAAAAGCAAACCTCCACGAATTTTTTTTCTGCAAAGTGTTCATGACCTAGCTGTATATACCCTGTATTTTACCGATCTGTCGAGAAGTACTAAGTATGTTAGACATGTAAAAGGTTTTTTCTCCATAGGTAAATGAACAGGGCACAGCAAGACATGTTTACAGCAGATATACGTGGTTGATTCTTTGTACATGTATATACTTTATAAAAATATTACTCCAAGAATGCGCTAAAAATTATAAACGTCATTTTATTGCTGGTAATGTGGCCCTCCTACTAGGTTTATACAAGACTGCATTATTCATACATGTATTATCTTATCCATGTTGACCTCCATGTTGACATCCTCTATGTTGACCTCCAGGACCCAAGCTTTTATGTTCTTTCCAGAAGTATACCAAACACTCACCCAGGTGCTACGTTAACTTCCAGAACCCAGGGCTTTAGTTTTTTGTCCAGCAGTATATCAAAGCCGAACAGTTCATGTCCACTGTATTTGCTCTGCAGGTACGTCTGTACTCCTTCGAACATATCTGGTTCCCCGCTGTTTAAAAGTATGAGAATAACCATCATTGTACATTTTGGACTCAAAAACATCTGCTTTTCCTTGCATTGTCTCTTTATAATGACAGCAATCCCTTCGGATTTATATATGGGGTTTGGTGAACTTAATGAACTTATGGTGGTAAAGTACAAATTTATATATATATAACTTATTATTATTACTCAATTGCTGCAGGCAACAGAGATGATAATAAGACTTTTACTAACAGAAATCAAATCGAAGGGTGTATTACCGGCGATATAAATGTGCATCAACCCTCTGAAAGAGAAATGTAAATTTAAAATAAAGTAACCTGATTATCGTCTTTAATGTGATGTCTTTGATCTTCTCCCAAATCGGCTCGTGGTCGGTTCCATCTTTAGTTTTCAAATGCTCCCATAGCTTATTAAATGACCTGACAACAACAGAAAAAGCGTTTAAATTATTTCAGCACTATAAATGCAACAGTTGTTCCAGATACACCGACGTTTTAAAAACTGGATGACGCGAAAATATTAACAATGCTCTTAAATTGACAACTCTAGCCTATATCAGCCGCTTGGGAAAAATGTTCAGAAGGTGGGCCAATGTTGGGAATTTACGAGATGCTTGGTTGTCTGGTTGTTGCGCATAGTAAAATTAAATATGTGGGTAACCTTTTAACGATCCACATAAATGCAGGTGACGCTTTTTTCGTTAGGGGAGTATAGATGTTTGCCTTTAGTTGCATGTAACACCAGGAACAATTACTTGCGGAAAGTAACGTGTGGGAATTCTATGTACACTATAGCACACATACCATTTGTGTCCAGTTTTCATTGAGTAACGTAGTTTGTAGTCAGGGTTTTTCTCATTCACTTCAACGTTAGTGAGATGGATAGTTTCATCGAAGGCGCGTGTTGTAAACCTAAAATTAAAATATTTATATAAAAATAAACTACATTGGATTGCAACCGTACAAGATGAAGAAGTAGCTTTACGAGGCAATACAGTCTGTCTTTGTCAGAAATCATCCCGGTTTTGTGTTCTTGGCTTGTTTTGAAAAAACAAAGATATAAGACAATATAAGCATTATTTCATGCACACTCTGCTAATATCTGGCTTCCCCGAAAAGAAATAAAAAATACAAATGCCCAATAAAAGTTCCTTTCATGATCACACAATTTGAAGAAAAAAAATTAAAAGACATAACATATTTGAAGACTGCACGATCAGTACAAGTCATTAATCATTGTATACTTACGACATCAAAACTGTCACGATTGCCTTACATGGAAAATCAAAGAACTTAATCGTTTATAAACGAATACGTACTTCTTAGTAGCAAATCTGACAAGGCCATCGCGGTACACATACACTCTCAGTGGGTCGACGCTTGTGACGAGGACTAAAACCCGCAAGTCAAACTTATATCCATTTATGAGGAAGGGGTTTGGAATGTACCTGGAAATGCACGAGCACAATTAAGCCTCAGCACATATATATATATATATATATATATATATATATATATATATATATATATATATATATATATATATTATAAGCTCGTCCATAAGTTTTCAACTTAAAATAATTTGTAAACGAACAAAGAAAAAAAGCTTTTCCTCGTCAGAGGAGGTATGTTGAAATCAGAAATGTAGGCCAATTTATTTCATTAAAAAAAGGTGGCGATATTAAAGGAGTAAGACATACCTTTGCGCGACGCGTCTATGTTGTAAAGGAATCTGTCCAAACTGATGAATCACTTCAATGCCTTTGCCTCCGTAAAAACAATACTGGTGAATAAAAAATGATCCCTTGTGAAAAACAATTAACATATGTCAGCACTCAAAATATACCTCGTACTTTACTAGTTAATTTCAAAGATTTAAAATTCAATAAAGACTGACCCGGAAGATCTTCAGACCTCCTTAGCTTGACCTATGTCTGAAAAGTTTTGCCGCCACATACGAGCTAGGTTGTACAAATCTACTACTTCTTTATCCAAACTAAAGAATACTTTAAAAAGTATTTTCATTTAACAAAATTACCGGTTTTAAAATCCACAGCTGGTTCTCTGGTCCGCTCTCCCAAGCCTTCTTAACTGCTTCCATCTCGTCAGGTGTCAGATAGGTAGGTGGGTGAAAATTAAATTGTTTACCGTGAGCCATCTTCATTTTTCGCATCTTATGTGCTAGTCTATCCTTACAGCCGATAGACCAGTTGTTTGGTAGATGGTTATACTCAAAGAAGGAAAAATTAATACATCTTATTTGTAATCGAACTGTCTCTTAGGTTAATACATTTTGTAGATTTTTACCATTGCATTTCGTTCAACTACTTACACATCACGATTTTGCATGTAATGCATCACAGAAGGATAAATCATCATTAATATTGATAAGACTGTAATCTAATTACCCTCCTGGCGCCACACAAAAAAGAACTGATGTATTATAGTGTTTTCAGGCCCGTAGCCAGCAATTTCAAAAGGGAGGTTCTTTTTCTGAAAAAGTGGACCTTTTCCCATAAAAACTTCATGTACCTAGATCAAATTTTACTCCAGAGTGGACCTTTTCCCAGCAAAAGGGGCAGTTCTTTCGAACCCCCCAAACCCCCCTGGCTACGGGACTGCTTTTACAGTGCATTAGTGCATTAGTGTACATTTAAAGGACTGTATTGTCCTGTCCGTGTTAACCAACTGGTGGGGATGTTCCCATTTCTATTGGTAAAGGTATGAACAATAAATATCTTTTATATCATGTACATCAACGTGTTGTAAACATCATTGATGTTAGAAATCCGTTAACACTAAGAAAGTGTTGCATAAGAATATAATTGTATGACCTATTTACATATACAAATGTATCTGACCTATCGATAGAATTAACTTTTGAATTCTGTGGAATTAACCCGTTCGTATTACCTTTTTATTGGGTGTAATGGTTTTGAACATGTGTGTTTCACTTGGTGGGAAACACCCGGTGTAGCGCCCCACCCACATGTTATCATCTGGAAATGCACTGTTGTTTTACTAAGTAAGATTTATAAAGCAGTTTGCAAATGCAAAGATGTCACTGGTTTAATTAGACGCACTTTAATAAATAGATGAACGCGAAGGGCCACCTGTAATACTTTCTCTAATTACCTTTTTTAAATAAAAGGGTTAATTTTCTATTTGATTTCAACATTGAAATAAATAGTTATTTATCTACCTTTTAAATGAATCCCAGCACGGGAAGAAATTTGTTTTTTAAACATGTTAGAATCATGTTAATATACATACCATCAGTGAGGGTGTATCCAGACGCAAACGCTATGGAAGATATGAGAGGAGAGCCGGACTTGTACCAAAACAAACGACTCTTGATGCTATCTGGAAACGCCTCTCCTACAGCAATTAATGCAGGCAAGTGATAAACATTCAATTAGTGCAAATTAATGAAGCATTTGATTCTATTTTTAAATTATGTTGCGAATAAATTGATTTTCTTCAAATTTGAGTCGCTTATCCTGTTTCCAATATACTTACCAGCGTTTCCTTTAATATTTTACTCCAGAAGACACTTAAGCTTGTTAATCTGCATTAAGCGAAGATCCCCTAGGAGTTATAATCTTAGCATTAGCTAGGATGACAGAATTCATTGTAAACGACCCCTAACAAATACAGGTTGCACCATAATAAATGGAGAACTTAATGAAATTAAGTGTAATGGGTGAAAATGCATATAGCATGGCACATAAAATGCAGCGGTGAATTAGAACTTACTTTGTTGTCCAGGCAGCACAAAGTTAATGACAGGTGGAACATTAGAAAACAGGCTGGGTATCAGCGCAGGCAGTAAAGGCTCCTGTACCTTCCCTGAAATGGTTTTATATTGAGTAGAAAAAATAATAGTGCCCTATGACTGCAACCTTTTTTTAATTTCGGAATAAATTCTTTTGAGCAATGAGGGTATAATAATATTTAAGACTTTTCAAATTGCACTTTAACAAGTAAGTATACAAAATAATTTATAATATAATATAATATAATATAATATAATATAATATAATATAATTATGAACAGGGATAAAATATATATATGATGGATGGATTCTGCAGCAGTGACGGTAACAATCAATAGAATAAAGAAATATACATTTTCGAAATCAAACGCCACATTATTTTCTTCCCGTTTACCTTTAAGTGGTGTTAGTGTGGTGTCACCAGTATGGATTTGGGAACATTCCTCTTCACTTGTCGATGTCCCTTTTAAGCAGTGGTCAACTTTAGGTTTTGGGTCTGCACATATCACTTCATATACTTTTCAATGAAAGGTAATATAATCTTTATAATTTAGGGAAAAAGGTTTAAAACTAGAATATTTAACTACAACAATACGCGTACTATCTCATTGTTTGTCGCACATCAAAGATGATAAAATATTTCCACATGTCTTCAATTACAAATTACAGCAGACTGAATTTAAAAAATACTTACCTTTGGAATAGCCCGGGTGATCAAAAGGAGTAAGTATAAATACAGCCCATGCTACAAACGTCTTCAATTGAGCCATGTTGTTTATCAACTGTCACGCTGATGGGAAGGAAATTTAAGTACCACAGTGACCCTATAATTAGGAAAGGTTAACCTGCTGGTAGCGGTGTTTAACATTCCATCACACGCTGGTAACCACACACAGTATCACGAAGGAATATGTAGTAAATAATGCACTGTCCACGAGCCCGATATCACGATGCTATCGTGTATATCGG